CTACATCCTCAATCAGATGGTATGGTAGAGCGATTCAACCGGACCCTGGAAGAGCACTTGCGAAAAGTAGTGGACAAGCATCAGGATGATTGGGATGTGCATATACCGCTTTTCCTGATGGGATATCGGTCCATCGTGCATTTAACTACAGGACAAACACCCGCGAGGATACTGTTTGGTAGTGAACTACGGTTGCCCAGCGATTTAAAATTTGGAATAACTGGCGGTGCGAGGGAAGGTAACGTCTACCGATCTCGAGCAAGAGCTAAGAGACAGCGAACTCAAATTATGAGTGAAAAAATGAAGGCCAGGTATGACAAGGCGATGAGCTCCGAAGGTTTCCAAAATGGATATTTGGTGTTGCTATACAATCCACAACGGAAGAGGGGTTTGTCCCCAAAGCTTCAATGTAATTGGGAAGGTCCATACAAGGTAATCAAATAACTAAACGAATGTATCGAATCCAAACCGTTGGGAGTCCAAGAAACAAGATGAAAGTGGTCCACCTTGAGAGGCTTGCTGAGTTTGGAACAGCGAATGTGTCTGATCGGGACGATCAGACTTATGTAGAGGGCAGTGTTGCGAAAATGCGAGGCAAATGTCAGATGAAAGAGAGAAGCCGATAACTAGTACATTCTAGAACGATAAAACGATCTAAATCCAAACCACAGATACCCTACCTAATACTAATTTTATGTATTTATTTCTTTAGTTAAGAAAGTGGTTTTTTTTTTTTGAGGTTCTAATGTATGTATATACTAACTGTGTGACTGGAATCATGTCAGTTGTAAAGAATCATGTCAGTTTGTTTATAAAAAGGAAATATAATTAAAACAAGTTCTTGCTTTAAATAAAAGTATAAATGTATTCATATAAATTCTAATCAAAAGCTTTGAAAAGTTAATTTAAGTTGTTTAAATAAAGTGGATATTCTGTATCACGATGGCGCTTCTAATTATATTGCCACCATTATATATGCAAAGTGGGCAAATAATATATCTTTAAAATTATCTCTTCACTTCTTAATCTACAACTTTCCTTCCCGTATCTTGTTCATTGTGGTTTTGCCCATCAATTTAAAAATTATTTTAGCTAGTCCAGGATAACGACTTGCATAAGCTAAAAAGTTAACAGGGAACAGCCCACACCAAGATATATCTAATTTATTTGCAATTGATACCGCATATAATTTGCCGCATCTCTCAGCAGTCATCCGTTTTTGATTTTTCGTGCTTTGTCCAAACTTTTCTCCTGGTTCTGCTGTGAACGCCTCTTGAAGAAAATCTGTAGCAATTGGTCCAGGGCAAAATATCGTAACGTCGATGCTTCGTTGCTCTATTCGAAGCGTATTCATATAGGCATTAATGGCAAATTTCGCTGCACAGTAAGTTGCTGAAAAAGGAGCTGGACAAAAACCAGCAACGCTAGATGTTACCACAACGTGCCCATGTCCACCAGATTGATGCAGAAAGTAGCGCACTGCAATTCGTGAAAGATTAACAACAGAAAATACGTCTAATTCAAATAGGCTACGATCAACATCTATATTAATCTCTTCCCAACTAGCCCGTTGTGAACGACCAGCATTATTAACCAATACATCTAAGCGCCCAAAGTGTTTTAACACCTTTTCGAAGCAATTTTCGTGATTGGCAATTTCTAAAACATCCATGGGTAATACAAAAACATCATCTTCAGATAGCAATCCCTTCGCTTCCTCCAAGCATTCTCTTTTCAAGGAATCCAGCAAATGTTCACGTCTGGAAGAAATCACTAGCCGTACTCCATTTTTAGCCATCTCAAGAGCAACTGCTTTTCCGATGCCACTTGACGCACCTGTTACCCAAACAACTTGACCACGCATTGCCGAAACAGGCACACCGAAATATGAATTGTACCAAAGATCCACATTGCAATCCAAATATAGCCATAAGATTATATAAACCAGGCAATAAAGCAGTAAAAGAAAGAACAGCAGCTCAAAAAAAGTCATCGCCTTAGGTCAAAGAACGTATATGAATAAAGTGTCGCCAACTTATTGTACTTAAAACTCGTATATGAATACAAACGTTCTTTGACGAAAAATCAAGATCACTGATAAGCGGAAAACATACAATACTCACATTCCCTGGAGGAAAAGCTTATTGCAATATAATTTCATATTAGATGACGATCGGTATCAACTTTGCAATAACTTAGCTCTTGAGTCTGCATTTCATATAAGTAATATATAATTTTCAAATAATTTTTCCAGAAATATATATTCAGTTCCCATATTTAATAATAATACAAGAAAATTTTGCTCGCAGTAATTGGGGCAAAGTCGAATGTAGCAGAGATTTCCTTTTAAATGCTTTGCAACCCTGGCTGTCAAATGTGGTCAATTTTGACAAGAAGTTGACAGTTATAGATATATAAGAAGCGGATTCGGAATTGTTTTTAATAACTAAAATGAAGATTTCACGTTTAAAAAAAGCACACAAAACATTAACATTTTTTTCCACAAATTTTGAATACCGCGAGCCGTACCAAATACTGGTAGATGCCACTTTTTGTCAAATGGCTTTGCAAGTAATTTCTTCACGGTTTCCTACTTAACCAAAGCATTGCCTTATATACATTTTCTTTTGTTGCAGAATAAAGTTATTATCGAGGAACAATTAAGAAAATACTTTCAGTCGACTATAAAATTAGTTACTACGCAATGTATAATATTAGAATCTGAATCACTAGGAGCCCAGCTCGCTGGTGCGACTATGATCGTCAAAAATTTCCATGTTCACAAGTGTGGCCATGAAGGTTCTCCTGTTCCGGGTTTGCAGTGCATTAAAACAATGGTAAGACTCAGTAAAAAGTTAGTTACATAAATATCTCTTTACCCATATTCTACTTACAGGCACATGATGGACGTTATATTGTGGCATCACAAGATCGGTCCTTACAAAAGAGCCTTAGAAAAGTACCTGGTCGAATGCTGCTATACCTTCACAAGGCAACTCCGGTGTTAGAAGAACCTTCTGATGCATCAAAAAAATATGTTATGAAAAAGTCACAAAAAAGTTTAACTTGTGGTATAGAAAAACACTTGAAGGAATTAAAACAAATTAGAGATTTAAATACAGATATATCGGATAAGGCATCAAAAAGAACTAGGCCCAAGAACCCAAATCCACTTTCGTGTAAGAAAAGTAAAAAAAGAAAGGATAAAAATCACCAGAATATAGATCCGAAAGCATCCAGCCTATGTACTTCTAGTGAAACCAGCATGAAGAAGAAGCGAAAACGGCTCAAGATACCCTCACATGTAAAGGCAGCACTAAAAAACCCTGCATAAAAACGATACTATTTTTGAATAGCAATCTAAATTAATAAAACTTATTGTAACAAATACGTAAAAATACCTAAAAATTTAAAACAAATAAAACTTTAAACTATGTAAAGAGTATATTTCCAATATTTTCACATATCTTTGACATTTCCTCGTTAGAAGCATTTTCTGCTGCTAATATTGCATTTCCGAGAGCTATCGTTTCACGTAGACTTTTTGCCTTTAGCCAAATACGACCATTTAGTCCAACAGCAATTTCATACGGCATTTCTTTAGTAAGTGACCGCAATAAAGGACAGTTTTCTCGTAAAATCATCCGTGCTAAATTTAAGCTACAGTTCATGACAAAGCCGTCAGTTAGCACGCCAAGTTTACCTTTCTTTCCTATTGAATTGACACAAACTAATTCTGGTTCCAAGTCACGACTAGCCACAATTAACCGTCCATACAGTACGTCTCCAGGATTTACATCTGGTCGATTCTTCTTTGTAGCCGACTCGAAAGCCAAGTATGACAATGAAGCCTGCTCATGTGCACCAATATCCACTCGAAATATATCCCCTGCTTTAGCAGTTACAACACCTATCACAGCGTCACCTCTCACAGGTACATAGCGTTGCTGATAGCTATCAATCCAGTAGGCATTCGGCTCTTTGTAATTTAATCTCCCTGCTTTGCAGACTACCACTTGTTCATTTTCTCTTCGCAAGCCCGGTCCCAAAATTACTTTTTTAAGTTTGGCTAGTTCCTCTGCAGCTGATATTCGGTCACCCGGCAAAACAATTTCCGTCATCTTAATTATATCAATATTTAAAATATAATTATTTTAACCAACACGTGAGAGAAAATGAGAAAAAATATTGTTGCGAAAATGAAAGAGAGAAGCCGATAACACAAGAACCTTCCATAGCGAACAATTCGATGCTTCTACGCTTTCGTCTGCGAGCAGCCGACTGCTATATAAAGGCGACACTCAGCTGCAAGTCAAGCAGTGACAAAGCAAATTGGTTGGCGTTAACATCAGTGAAGACGTAAAGTGAACGCGTTGGGAATTACATTTAAGTAGAG